TATATTTATATATGAATATATTATAAACACATACATTATATAAAAATATATATAATATGTATCAATAAAATATTTTTTTAAAAGATGGAAAAGGCATTAAATTTGTGGGTGGAAGACATGCACGGAAATGTGTTCCAAATGATGGCAATCAAGTGTGGTACTACCCACAGTTTCAGGAATCCACTAGGGGCTTAGAACATAACCCATACAGATAAGGGGGTACTACTGTATGCCTAAATCAGCCCGCCAATGTATAAGAAGATCCATCTGAGCAGGCACTCACGCTACAGAAAAAGGAAGTTCAGTCCTTAGAAAAACGTTTCTATTTTATAAAATCCTCTAGAAAGCAGTATATGTTCAAGTCAAATCAAATACAAAATAATTAAAATACATTTTAAGGAGACAACATCACACTCAAAAGACCCTACATTCCATTTAGAAAAGTTAAAAATATGTATTCATTAATTCTAAGAACCTCAGTTCTTAATAACAGTTATTAGTTACTGGGTGCTAATTACATGCCAGGCACCATGCTAAGGGATTTACATGTATCATTTCTAATTTTTACAACAACTCCAAAAGTAAGTGATTAGTCCATCTTTAATAATATTTACCTAAAGTCTTGTATGTGCCAGATTTTATTTACTTAAAGTCTTTCAAACAATGGGAACATATCAGTGAACAAGAAAAGTCCTAGTTTTCATGGATTCCAACTTACTTGCTAAATTAAGGGGGAGACTATATACATATATACACACACACACATATGTATACATATACACACATATATATTCATATACATATAAGTGTTATGTGGTGATATAAGCTAAGAAAATAAAGCAGAGTAAAAGGACAGAGAATGGTTGGAGATGCTATTTCAGACTTTGTGGTGAAGGAAGGCTTTTCTAAAAAGGTGGCACTTGAGTAGACTTGAATTCAGAGAGGGAGTGAACCACATTTCAAAGAACATTTCAGGCAGCAGAAATAGCCTCTTTTCCACAGAACAGGCTCCTTTTAGGGTTGTGAGTCTCTCATCCTTAAGGATGTTCAAGAAGACAAATGAGCCCACTATTATGGGATAGTGTAGTGGAATGGTGATGGTGCAAGTAAAGAGGAAGTCTGCAGAAGACCGACAGCCCCTCCCAGTTCTAACAATGGGCACTCTCATATATTTGTTTCTAATTAAAATTCTCATTATTTCAATCAGGAGATTTACTCGGAAACTACTGGGCTTTTTCTTCCCCACCTATGATTATCTATACTATTTTTGAAAAATTTTTGTATAAATCAGCAATATCATGAGAAAAAAAGAATGGGTTCAGGACACTCAGACCTGGGTCTAAATCCCAGGCCACACAACACAGACAGATAATACTTAACTCCTCTAGTTTGCATTTCCTCATGATTAAAACTGGACTAATCACTTACTTTTGGGGTTACAAAAATTAGAAGTTATACATGCAAATCCCTTAGCATGGCACTTGGCATGGTATATAATTAGCACTCAATAATAACTACTATTAAGAACTGAGGTTCTTAGAACTCTTCTCTGTTTTCACTTACACCAAATTCCATTCCTATTAAAACTAATAATCTGTAAAGAAATAGTTTTCAGAACATGAGCTGGTTCATAAAAAGGGCAGATTTATAATGCTGATTTATCATGGTTCAATGAAAAGGAAAAAACAACCAAAATAAACAAACCGTCTAATATGTGGATGGGTGTGAGGTGAATGGTTTCTTGAGAGAGATGTTTATAAAACTTTGGAAATAGGCCAAGGAAACTCCTGCAATTTGCATCATTTAGAGGAATTCTCATTACACTTACTGGGAAAGAGTTTGGCTCCTTTCTACGGCTGTCACTTCCTGCTTCCTGCCATGCAGAACCAATGCAGCTGTTTTGTGGAATAGTTCAATTGAGCAAGCAGTCAGTTCAGCTAGACTCCGGATTGCAAACGCATGGATATCCTGGATGGAAAAACAAAACACAGCATAGCAAAACATTTGGTGGAAATGATACCACCTTACTTCTCTCATACTACAGGATTTGTAGCAGAGACTAATAGTTGCCTTCCAATAAAGAGTGTCTTCTTCTTCCACAGTGATGTATTTTACAGCTGGGCTCAAAGCTACAAACACAAAGGCTCCCCTGTAGTCAGGTGCGACCAAGTAACTAAGTTTTGGTCAAATGATTTAGATAACAAGTGTCAGGCGGCAGTTTCTGGGAACCTTCCTCATGACAAAACACACATGCATCCTTTCTTTTTTCTTCACTCCTCCTTTAATCTTATAGTCTGGATCTAAGATGCTACAATCCTAGATCACAAGGTTTAAATTACGGAGAGCAGTGTAAAAACTAAGGAGCCTGGGTCCTTGATTGTGATACATCTCAAATCTACTAAAACAAACAAAAAAGCCTTAGTTGCTTTGGCTACCTCTATTGAATTTTTGTTGACTTGCTCAGTATTTTCTGCTTCCAACTGTTTTTCTCCTTCTTCATTCTCTGCTAATGGCTTGGTCAGAGACTTCCTGATCCATTCGTGGGCGGTATTTCTTGCCTAAGTAAGAAAAATATTGGCCATCAACAATTCAATTCAGTTCACCAAAATTACTGTGCACCTACCAGGAACACAATAGCATCCTAGAAGTAAGGGCACTTGTTCTTACCTGAACATACCATCTAGCTTTTCAGTCCTTATCACTGCTGTCCATCATTTCAGTCCTTATCATAAGTCCTTTTCAGCACTTATCACTGCTGTCCATCATTCCTTTTTTAAATTCTCTAATTGGTGTTTTTTTTTGTTTGTTTTTTTGTTTTTTTGAGACAGAGTTTCACTCTTGTTGCCCAGGCTGGAGTGCAATAGCACAATCTTGGCTCACTGCAACCTCCACCTCCTGAGTCCGAGCGATTCTCCTGCCTCAGCCTCTCGAGTAGCTGGGATTACAGGCAACCGCCACCACGCCTGGCTAATTTTTGTATTTTTAGTAGAGATGGGGTTTTGCCAGGTTGCCCAAGCTGGTCTCGAACTCCTGACCTCAGGTAATCCCCCTGCCTTGGCCTCCCAAAGTGCTGGGATTACAGGCGTGAGCCACTGCACCTGGCCTCTAATCAGCTTTTCAAAAAACCAAGGTATAATTTACATACGGTAAAGTGCACAAATCTTCAGAGTACAGCTTAAGAAATGTTTATACGTGTATATGCCTGTTAAACTGTGATGAAGATATAGAATATTTCCTCATCCCTAGAAGGTCCCTTCATGTCCCTTCCTCGCCAATACTGTTCCAACCATGTCTCCCTCCTCCTGCCCAAAGACAACCCCTCTTCTGCTCACTATAAATGATTTTCCCTGATCTTAAAATGCATAAAAATAGAAATATAAGTTCATTCTAATTTGTGTTTGGCTTAAGCACAACATAATGTCTGTTAGATTTATCCATGTTGTTGCATGTATTAGTTCATTCATATTAACTGTTGCGTAGTATTTCATTTTATATACAGTCATGCACCACATAATGATGTTTAGGTCAACAACAGACCACATATATAATGGTGGTCCTGTAAGATTGGAATACTATATTTTTACTCTATCTTTTCTATACCATTGTGTTGCAACTGCCTACAGTATTCAGTACTGTAGCATGCTGTACAGTTTTGTACTGGAGCAATAGGTTAAACGATATAGCCTAGGTATGTAACAGGCTACATCAGCTAGATTTGTGTAAGTACACTCTCTGATACTCGCCCAATGACAAAACTGCCTAATGATGCAGTTCTCATAACATATCCTCATCAATAAACAATGCATGATTGTATATATCACAATTTATCAATTCTCCTGATAATTAATCTAGTTTTCTTTGGTTTTTGTAACCCCACATTCTTCTGTTCTCCTCTGACCTTTATGATCATTCCTTCTCAGTCTCTTTTATATATTGATCCTAGTTGGCCAGTCTCTTAAACACCAGAATCATTTGGAGGTTTAGCCTTCACTTCTTACTTGTCTCATCCTATTCCCTCTCCATCGATCCTATGCCAGTGGTTTTAACTATCCTCAGCCTACTGTTGACTCTTAGATCCTTATTTCTAGCCCTGACCTCTCCTGAAAATTTATTCCAAATGCCTGCTAGACAAAATACTCTGCAGGCATCACACACATAACAAGTAAAAACTTTGAACTCATTGTCTTTCTCTTCCTACCCCCAAATTTTTCAACCTCTTTCATTTCCCAAAGTTTCAGAATTGCCACCATGTACCAGTCACCTGAGCCAAAATATAGGGGCCATCTTAAATTTTTTTCCTCTCCAATCAATCACCAAGATGGTCTGATTTTATCCAAGTCCCTTGTCATCCTCTTCCTTCCCGTCTTCCTCCTCCCTATTACCACTTCTTGAGTTCAGAGCCACTTCATGACTGGTCTCCCTGCTTCTGATCTGTTTATCTTAAATCTATCTTCCATAATGCTACCAGTGATCGGTCTTAAGCCCAGGGCTGACCATTCCTCTTTCCTTCAATGGCTCCTCATCAACTAGATCATGCTCTTTACATGATGTAACAAGTCTCCATGACCTAGACCCTACCTACTTTTCCAGCCTCATCTCTTAACATTTTCCACTTTATGTTTGGTAAGAATGACCTCTACTGTACTTGTTCTTTCAATCCTCTACCCAGATATCATCTCTTTCAAGTAACTTAAATTTAGTACTTAACCAAATATAGTAGAATTATCTGTTTCCTAACTAAACTATGTATTATAGGATAGCTAGAGTGTGTTTTATTTGGCTTTGCATACCCAGTGTTCAGAACACTGTGAAGAACATCTACTGTTCTGGATATAGATATGACCAGCATCCATATCTCCTTTCTTTTGGTGGCAGGTTCTAGATTCTCCTTAGTTCATGTGATCTGCATGGAGCTGCTTCCATCTTTTGGCTCCAAAAGTTGGCTAACCATTCAGATTTAGCTACTGAGAATATTAATACCTGTGTCCACAGAGTAAGTGGTTCACAGATTAAAAAGTAACCCAAGCCAGATCAATGGACATCAGTCCCAGGACATCTGGTAAAATTATCAACAAAAAGAAGTGTTCTTTTAGTTGGAGTTACTGAAATGGAAAAAAGTCACCCACCCTAAAGCTGCCAATGGTCATTTTACCACCATATGGAAAAGCTTCCCTAAGAATGAAGCCAAAACAAAAGGAAGCAAGCCAAAACACACAGATAGGGATAGAGATAGGTTCCTGAATAGAGGATGCCTGAAGCCAGCTCTCTTCCTTGATTTTCTGTTTTCTTGAGCTACTGAATTCCCCTCTTTTAAATTAGTTTGTTATTTTTTTAAGTTTCTTAACTTGAGTTTCTGTCACTTGCAAGTGAGAGAGTCCTGGTTTCTCAGAAACTGTTATTACCATCTACTTTATTAACTTTAAATACACAGAATGTGTTCAAAGCTGTCATGAGGGTAATAGGAATCCAGAGAAGACTTTGAGAATGATTCTAAATGAGAAACACAGGTTTTATTACATGCACAGTGCTGGAGTTAGACCTTGAAGGATCAGTAAGTAGGGCTACACCCAAGGCCACCTGAATGAGCTAAAGCAGACTTGTGTTCCCAGAATTTCACTGTGGGGTTCTTTCCCTACATTCTCCCACAAAAACATTCAGGAAGAATCTAGCTCTGATCTATACCTCCCATTAAGCATTAACCTCTCAAATTCAAAACACCAAATAGCATGAACTATATAAAGGCTTGGAAACAGAAAAATGCAAAGTGTTTAGGCTAACTGTGAGATATCTAGCAAGACCAAAATATAGGATACAGGCATTTTACTCATTCATTCATTTATTGCAAATATATACTAACACTATGCCAGTGCTAGGGACTCAATGGTGAATAATACAATCTAGGAGCCTGCTATTCTCTCTCCTAATAAGGCAATTAACAAGCAAACAAATACATACATAAAGAAAATAAAAGGGAGTAATGATGAGTGTGGGTAGAAGGTGGCTTGAGTTTGGGTGGTCAGAAAGGGTCTCTGAAAAGTTATGTTTCAGCTGAAATCTGAAGGAATTGGCCATACAAATATTTAGGCAACAAGAGTTGTAAGCACAGGGAAATGAGCGTGGTACACCTGAGAAACAGAACAAAGGCCAGTAAGGAAGAATATAGAGGATGGGGAGTGTGACAGAAAATTAGGTTGGAGTAGTGAGATTTATAGAAGAGAACAGTGAGAGATGAGGCTGGAAAGAATCCTAACAGTTGACTAATAATACAAACAATATGTTAAATTATTTGCAATATCTTTGAAGAGACAAAATGAGTAAAAAACGAAGGATTAATTAATCTGAGATTAAAAAAGAAAGAAAAATGGAAAGTGATAGACCACATAAAAGAAAAAATTGATACGATAAATTTAATATACTTGAGGGAGTTTTTTTGAGATAGAGTTTCACTCTTTGCCCAGGCTACAGGGAAGTGGCATGATCTCAGCCCACTGCAACCTCTGCCGCCCAGGTTCAAGCTCAGCCTCCCGAGTAGCTGGGATTATAGGCACCTGCCACTGCGCCTGACTAATTTTTGTAGTTTTAGTAGAGATGGGGTTTCACCATCTTGGCCAGGCTGGTCTTGAACTCCTGACTTCGTGATCTACCCATCGGCCTCCCAAAGTGCTGGGATTACAGGTGTGAGCCACTGCCCCTGGCCAGGAGATATTTTAGTAGGCATAGAGCTTACCCAAAGTGACCTCTCTTGTAATAAATATATTAAGTGAAATCATCACGAACTATTGTGCCAACTCAAGGTAATTTATTATCCTTTTCCAAAATTATTAATGTCATCCACGCCCACAATTCAGTCTGGAACTTTCCAGTTGTTGAGATCTGCAGATCTCAAAAGGTACCTTTGAACTTGGCTTCTCCAAAAGCTTATTTATTTCCAACAGAAAAATAACGAGGCTTAGAGAAGAAAATGAATTTGTCCAAGGCCACACCACACGTGAGTATCAGAACAAGAATCAGAATCACAGAATCATATTCCCAGACTCCTAATTCAGTGCTCTTTCCCCTGCATCACAGCCTGCCATATAAATCTTTTGAGGGTCAATGGTTAAGGCCTTGATCCTTAATCAATCTACATCTTAAGTCTCAATGCCTAAAACTTAAACAATCTGAAGACTGCTTTCAGAGAATGGCTAGAACTGCCAGATAGATAAGGAGTTACTGGTCTTCCAAAAATTATTATTAATGTGATCTCTCATTAAGCATGTAAACTATGTCTTTCTCATGATTATTTCCCTAGCACCTAGCAAATTACTAAGCACAATAAAGGTTTATTGAACATATATGTATATTTATTGAACAGCTACATGTAGAGGACATCGGGCTATCTTCTGTGGAGCCATCAACAGTGAGCATTTATTTACTATAAGCCAGGCAGTTTGTAAGAGCTTTGTGTGTGTGAACACATTTAAACCTCACAGGAACCCTACATTATTATTACTCACCACACAGAGAAAAAAATGAGGCTCACAGAGGTCAAGCAACTTGCTAAAGGTCACACAGAAAGTAATAGGTAGTAGAGCTGGAATTTTAAGGAATAGGTATGTACAGATCCTGCCTTTGAGAAATTTAAGCTTCAGGATAGGAGGTAAGATATACATATTTTTTAAAAACTGTGATAAATGTATAAAAATACTTATGCACAAGGCTAAGTGAAAAAGGCAGAGTGCTAAAGAACAAATACAGTATGTTGACTTTTCCATCAGAGGAGATAAGAAAATATATCTGCTTATCTTTACAAAAAGAAACTCGGGAAAGATAAGCCAAAAACAAGAAAGATGAATACCTACAAAAACAGGAGAACGGAGTGGAAGGGAAGTGGGAGGGAGAGACCTGAGTATATTTTTTATGCAGTTTGATTTTTGGAAGCGTGTTAATACCCTACATATTCAAAAACAAAATTAACACATAGGCAGCAAATAAAACCATTTTTTGTAGGTTACTTTTATAGTACAGATTAAGTATCACTTATACAAAAATCCAAAATTCTCCAAAATTTGAAATTTTTTAAGCGTCAATATGATGCCACAAGTGAAAAATTCCACCCCTGACCTCATGTGATGGGTTGCAGTCAAAATGAATTCAAAATTTTGTTTCATGCACAATTTTTTTTTTTTTTTTTTTTTTTTGAGACAGAGTCTCACTCTGTCGCCCAGGCTGGAGTACAGCAGTGCGATTTTGGCTCACTGCAAGCTCCGTCTCCCGGGTTCATGCTATTCTCCTGCCTCAGCCTCCTGAGTAGCTGGGTCTACAGGCAACCACCACCACGCCCGGCTTGGCTAATTTTCTGTATTTTTAGTAGAGATGGGGTTCCACCATGTTAGCCAAGATGGTCTCGATCTCCTGACCTCGTGATTCGCCTGCCTCGGCTTCCCAAAGTGCTGGGATCACAGGCGTAAGATACTGCGCCCGGCCTCCATGCACAAAATTTTTAAAAATATTGTATAAAATTATCTTCAGGCTATGTGTATAAGGTATATATGAATATAAATAAATTCCGTGTTCAGACTTAGATTGCATCCTCAAGATACAGCACTGTGTGTGTGTGTGTGTGTGTGTGTGTGTGCAAATATTCCAAAATCCAAACAAAAATCTGAAATCTGAAACAGTTCTCTATTCCAAGCATTTTGGATAAGGGATACTCTATAGTATAGGCAAAGCAATAAAACTATTTCAGACACATCTCATAATTAAGGAAATGTGGTAATATTGTTGGGAGACAAGGTTCCTACTGTAGAAGAGAGATACAAATGTGTAACAGGGAAAGGCAAGGAAAAACCCTGTAGGGATGGATTAAAATTGGAGTTACACTATGTGTGAAATCATGATTTCTAAAACACATATAGGTGTACATGTGCACATATGTATCTACATACATAACACATATAGGTGTATACGTACCTGAGTATATTTTCTAGCTCTGCTGACAGCCTAGAATCAGAGTCACGCCAGTGGCGATGAGTACACTTAGTACTCAGGTCTTGGTTTATGAAACCAAAAATCAATGAATCATGCTTTCGCAAAGAAATGTCTGGTTGTGGGGCTGGGGCACAGAAAGTATTAAGATATAAGAATATCTTGTTATGCCAGAAAGTAAGGAAGCACCCCAAAATGATGGAGGCATGCCACCTAGGAGCCAGCTTGAAAGACAAATCTGAACATCAAAATATTAAGGACAGTGATGAATTACAAGCCAATGGGGAAAAAGCAGAACTCCATGACAACAAATAAAAAATAAATACTGACAACGAATAAAAAAAGAATGAACAAAATGGGGGAGAAAGGAGAGCTCATGACTACACTGGAACGCTTAAAGCCAACTGGTAAATCTTCACACTAGATATTGGTGCAAGAATCAGAAATAGATGCTAGATTTAGGAGATAAATTATGATGAGTAGCAGGATATTTGTATGGTCTTACAGTATCTCCTCACAGAACGTTTATTAGCAAGATAGGTAAATAAACTGTAGCTCTACAGAAAGAAATCAGACAATACATCACCAATAAGGGGTAAATGAATATCATGTACTTTTAGATGTGATACCCTGGGCAGGACACACCATCACTTACAGAGTATTTTGGCCAGGAATGTATAAACTGACATTAATCATGAGAAAGCATCAGACAAACTCCAAAGCTTGTTTTTTAAAAACGCCAGTGTCATAAAAGACAAAGAAAGGCTGAAGAACTGTTCTAGATTAAAGGAAACTAAAAGTACATGGCAGCTAAATTTGTGATCATGTACTGGCTCCAGTGGTGAAGGAAAAAGTTTGATATTATTGGACGTTATTGGGTCAACTGATGTAACTGAAATACGGAAAACAGATTACAACAAATTAGTACAACAAAAGCACTAATGTTAAATTTACTGAAGTTGATAGCTATACTGTGGTTATGTAAGGGAATATCCCTATCCTTAGCAGACACATACTGAAAAATTTAGAAGAGCAATAATGTTTACAATTTACTCTCAAATAGTTACAAAAATAATATGTTTATCTACATGTGTATATGTGTATTTACACACACAGAGAGAAAGAACATATGTGAAAGCACAAATGTTTAAGCAAATGAGGTAAATATTAAGAGTATTGGATTTGCATAAAAGGTATACAAGTATTGTTTGTGCTACTCTTGTAACTTTTCTCTAAGTTTGATATTATTTCCAAAATAAAAAGCACTATAATACAAGATCAAAAGTGCTGTAGTAAAGTGTTACAGTAGAGGTAAGGGAGATGAGCTGCCTGGGGATGATCTAAAAAAGCTTTCTCAGAGAATACACCTTTTTCGATGGGCATAGGAGAGTGGGATAACACACCAAACATCATATTCCTTGCCCTGAGGGACGGAGACAAGGTGACTGGGTTGACTATGCAATAGCTCTCACCTCTCCCTGGCCAGGAAACAATGTGCACCTGCACCTGACTGGTCTTGAAATGCTTCTTAAGATTGGTAGAGGTGGGTAAAGAGGTAGCAAGCAGTCCATGACCCAGTGAACAGTGTCCCATGAGCAGGCACTGGCTTATATTTGCCACAGAACCTCCCTACCCACTCTAAGCTTTGATTAAAGTCTCTCCACATTTCAGATATAAGAAAATAGTTCCAGAATCAGCACCAAAAATAAAGGCCTTGGTCATAATACTCTCTCACTTCCATATGCCAAATAGTCATTATCTGAGTCACTGGGCTCTAGGTAATGACAACCTCTAATCCCTATGGGCAAGGCCACGTATTATTTCTAAATCATTCAGACCCCTGAGAACAGTGAGTCCTCAACAGAGGCTCACCCATTGGAATCATGAGGCTGGTCAGCACTGCCAACTTTTAATGACCAACATTGTAGCCTAAATTAAGCTTTCAGATAAGCAAAGCATCCCAACTGAAAACAGGTGAAGATGGGACACGTGCTGGAGGGCAGATGTGGGTTCAACACACTAACTTAGAGGAGCAGAAGGCAAGTAGATGCAGAACCCAATTCTGGGTATAACGAGAATACACCCTCGATTTTGGTGACACCTCTGCCAGGAATTTATAATCTTATAGTCTTTATCCACTACATTCTTACAAGTAAAATAATGAAAATCACCAAGAAGCGATAACTTACCCTGGCAAGTTTCTCTGGTTTGGAGGAAACGTGCAGCTGGGAAAACAGCTCTGTTATGTCCTTGGTAAAATCTTCATCCCCTAAAAAACCAAGTCCCATATAAAACACTCCAGAAAGACTGCTGAGGATCATGAGGTGGCAGGCAAGGAGGAAGAGGAGAGGAGTGGTAATAGCAGTAGCAGTAGTAGTAATAACAATAGTAGCAGCAGTAATGTACATGAGCATGGTGCTTTAGTGCTTATAGTATCCTTTTATGTGTATTATATCAATAAATGCTTCAATGGGCTTGAGAGAAAAGTGACATTATTCCACGTTAGAGATGAAGTGATTAAGGCCTGAAGACATTAAGTGACTTCCCCAAGATTGCATAGCAAAGATTAGTGGTCAAACCTTAGTCTTCCTACTCCAAGTCCAAATCCTGTGCTGTGCTTTTTGCATTACATCCAGAGCATGAATATAGAAATGGTGACAGCATAGACTAAGCAAGTACTGTGCATGCACTTCCAAGAAAGTGGAATTTAAGTTGGGACATCAAACTTGAGTACAAGTTAGCCAGGAGAATAGGAAGAGTTTCAGGCAGAGAAACAAACGCAAAGAGCCAAAGGTGAAAGAAAGTATGCCAAAGAGTTTAATATGATTGAGAGTATCTAATGTAAGGGGGAGAAGTGGTAAGCTTTCTAGAAAGGTAAGATCCAGATAATAAAGGCCATATAATCGATGGTGAAGAATTCAAACTTTATAATGAGGAAGTGAGGAACCACTGAATGGTTTTAAGCAGAAACAGAATCACATTTAAATTTTAGAAAGATCACTTTGATGGCTGGGTGGAGAATGGATTAGAAGGGGGAAAAGAAGGGAGGCAGGCTGAGGCAATAATCCAGGATCCAGGTAAGAGAAAATGGTGGATAAGAAGAAAAGAGGATCAATCATTACGCATCCATCATAATTAAAAATAAAAAGAAGAGAAGCAAAGGGGATTCCAGAACGTTGGAAGGATGGTAAGGAAGCTGTTGGAGTTAGTCTTGTGAAAGATGATGGAGAACCAGGAACACTTACAAAGAAACAAACAAGCAAATGGGTGACTCAAAATCAAAAAGCAATTAGCAAATCCAAACAAACAGTGAGAAATGCTCTCTTTCCCTCTCCACTCATCTGAATCCTATACACTCCCTGCTTTGTGGTCCAGCCCAAGGCTTCTCTGCAACATGGAATGCAGAAGAGAACTCTTGTACATAGAAATCTTCTAGCAATCTACTTACAGTCTATAGAATATTTCTTAATTCACTATAGTTTGCCAGGGCAAATCATTACTGCTTCATACTCAGCATCTTGCTTAATATTCCCAGGAATAAAAAAGCGTATCTTGGCTCTTCTCTCTCCATCCACTATCCTTTTGTCCTTCTTTCTTGGTATTTAAGGCAGAGAATTAAATGATTTCGTGATCTCAGGTATAATAAGGTTTGGGAAAAGCTGATCTCACTAACTGACACAACTCTTCCTACATAACACATTTAAACAACTGCTAATAACATTCTACTATTTAGGTAGACATTTTGTTTTCTCAAATAATTTGTAATTTGGATACAAGGGATGAATCTGAATCCATAGTGGGATGCATATACCCAAACGGGTTCACAAAATAATTCAATGGAGGACAGGAAAAAAAATGGACTTTTTATTTATAGAAATTTATCTCATTCTACTAAAAATTCTATTTTAGGGTATATTTTAGAATGTAAATTACAATTATGGTAGTACATATAATTTATATAAATTAAATTTATATAAATCTTCCAAGCAGGAAGACTCCTTCTGAAAAAAGGAATCAGGTATATATGGTAGAGGGGCAAGAGCCCAGGATGCTGATGGAAAATGAAGATAACCAACATCATCACTGGTTCTATGGTATTCTCTCCCCTCTGAAAATCACCACTTTTTAAAAAAACAGCTTCATAGAGACAAAATTAAATACTAAGGTCACTATTGCATTCTCAACCAAAATCACCGGGAAAGGCTGGGGCACAGTGAGTGGTGGGGGGAATCCAGTGCTATCTTTTCAGAGTTCTGATCTCTGGAGAACACGTAGGAAAAAAAAAATCACAGACACAAAACCATCTGTTTAGAAAACTGCTTGGAGTTCTCTGAACGGTATTTAAAGACTGGGATTTCTGATTACTATGGAAAGCCAGATGTTGAGTAAATTGAACAAATACTGTTAATGGCACTACAAACAAATAACTTAAGTTTATAAATAACTGAGGATTGTCATGTAGGGCTTGATTAGGAAATTAGGAACAATGGAGCAACTTACGAAAATCAAAATTAATTTATCGGTTTCCTGCTAAGACTTTTAAAATGCATATTTTTACCTATTTATTTACGCCCTTCTAATAATGAAAATAATAGCCACATTTGTTGAGTGCTTACTATGTGCCACATATTAAATACAGTATTTCATTTAATCCTTGTAACTTGAGAGGAATTAGCATACTCTTCTTACAGGTGAGGAAACAGAAGCTCAATGTTAAGTAACTTCCCAAAGTCACATGGCTTAGTAAATGGCAGATCTTGATTTTGAATCCAAGTCTAATTCCAAAACCCATCCTTTTATTCACCATGCTATACTGCCTTCTCAGTATCTCAAGGCAGCTTTAGAAACTTATATTCAAGAACCGTTTTCCAATGAGGACAAGTACCTTTACATAGAATAAGGTATCATTTAGCAAGATGCTATATACCCAGCCAGTTTGACTTCTTAGTTAGGACACAATGCAGAACACAAATGGAAACAAAAAAGAAAAAGCCCTGAAAGTAGGAGAGATCACGGCAGAAAGGAGGCAGGAATAGACTGCAGCTCCCACTAGGATGGACAGAGCAGCACACGGAGGCTCACTTTGTAAACTTCTGCTCCAGAATGACAGCAGGAACACATTAGAAAGCCGAGAGAACCCATATACCCTCTGAAGGAAGTGGATTGCTCCTGCAGGACCCGGGAGACCTCCCAAATACTGTGAGTGCCCGAACAGTGTGGAAGTGGGAAAGGGAGATCATCTGCCCCAGAACACACACCCCATTAGGGAACCTGAAGGTCTAGATTACAGGAGACAAATCTGACCTCATTGGAGCTGAGTCAACTTAGAGAGCCAAGTGAAATACAGGGGTAGAGGAAGCAGTAGGAAAACCCCTGTGGGATCGCTGGGTTCTCTAGCAAGCAATTTCCACCTTGCCTCACAGGGGTTCTTGGGGAGGAAGGGCAGAGGCAGTGGGAAAAGGCCACAGGGAGAAGGAAACCTCCAGTTGAACTTTGTAACAATTTGAACTGATGGAGAACTCCCCTTAACAGAACTCAGGAGAGGGCATGAATCCAGTGTGTGGACTCCACAGGCAGGGGAAGACCGAAAGCCCTACTTGCTTTCACAGCTGGGAGGTAGGTAGTCTGGGGCAAGTTCTCAGCCCTGCTTGCCCACTGCCTGGAAATGGACTCACTGTGGTTGGGGGGTGGGCACAGTGGTAGTGAGACCAGCCCTTTGGGTTGCATGTGAGCTGGGTGAGACCTGTGACTGCTGGCTTTCCCCCACTTCCCTGACAACCTGCATGACACAGCAGAGGCAGCCATAATCCTCCTAGGAACATAACTCCATTGACCTGGGAACCTCATTCCCATTCCCCACAGCAGCCACAGCAAGACCTGCCCAAGGAGAGTCTGAGCCCAACCCTGCCCTTCCCACCCTGATCTGAAGACAAAGAATATATACTCTTGGGATTTCTAGGGCTCTGCTCACTGCCTGTTCTTCTCCATACTACCACAGCTGATGCTCTCTTGAAAGTGCCACCTCCTGGCAGGAGGCCAACCAGAATAAAAATAGTGCATTAAGCAACCAAAGCCAAGGATGCTCACAGAGTCCACATCACCCCCCTGCCACCTCCACCAGAACAGGTGCTGGTATCCACAGCTGAGAGACCCACACAGATGGTTCACAGGACTTTGTGCAGACAACCACCAGTACCAGACTGGAGCCTGGGAGACTTGCTGGGTGGCTAGATCCAAAAGAGAGATAACAATCACTACAGCTCAGCTCTCAGGAAGTAACATCCCTAGGAAAAGGGGGAAGAGTGCTACGTCAAGCAAATACCCCGTGGGACAAAAGAATCTGAACACCCTTGTGCCTTAGACCTTTCCTCTGACACAGCCTACCCAAATGAGAAGGAACCAGAAAACCAACTCTGGGAATATAACAAAACAAGGTTCTTTAACACTCCCAAAAATCACACTAGTTCACCAGCAATGGATCCAAACCAAGAAGAAATCCCTGATTCAACTGAAAAAGAATTTAGAAGGTTAGTTATTAGGCTAATTAAGGAGGCACCAGAGAAAAGAAAAGCCCAATTTAAGGAAATCAAAAAAATGGTATGAGAAGTGACGAGAGAAATAGACAATGAAATAGATAGCATAAATAAAAAACAACCAAAACTTCAGGAAACAATGGATGCACTTACAGAAATGCGAAATGCTATAGAAAGTCTCAACAATAGAATTGAACAAGCAGAAGAAAGAACTTCAGAGCTTATAGACAAGGTCTTCAAATTAACCCATTCCAACAAAGACAAAAGAAAAAGAATAAGAAAATATGAACAAAGCATCCAAGAAGTCTGGGATTATGTTAAATGACCAAACCTAAGAATAATCAGCATTCCTGAAGAAGAGAAATGTAAAAGTCTGGAAAACGCATTTGGAAATCGAGGAAATTTCGAGGAAAACTTCCCCAGCCTTGTTAGAGACTTAGGCATCCAATACAAGAAGCTCAAATTTCATCTGGGAAATTCATCACAAAAAGACCATTGCCTAGGCACATTGTAATCCGGTTATCGGAAGTTAAGACAAGGGAAAGAATCTCAAGAGCTGTGAGACAAAAGCACCAGGTAACCTATAAAGAAAAACCTATCAGATTAACAGCAGATTTCTCAGCAAAAACCCTACAAGCTAGAAGGGATTGGAGCCCTATCTTCAGCCTCCTCAAACAAAACAATTATCAGCCAAGAATTTTGTATCCAGTGAAACTAAGCTTCATAAACGAAGGAA